GCGCGCGCTTGTTCATACACTGCGCCGAACACTCCGGATGGGGATCGATGCTGGCCAACGAAGTCACTCGGCCGTGGAAGGCATCGCTATATCTAGAGTAGGAAAGACGAGACCTCAGCTTGACTGCTTCTATCATAGGTTTTGTACAGAAGACGCGGGCGACATTCGGGCAAGTTAGGCTTGCGACACGCGCATTGCGCACAGAGCAACAACGGCCGCGCAGCTCGCGGTTCGATGAACTATGATTGACTGTTCTCATACAGAAGGTCTACACGATCGCTGTACAGTGCTATACACACATGAAACACGCGCCTACCGTCGTTTCAAAGCTACGCACGCCCTTTCTTCCTCTTCTTTGCCCTGCATGCATAGATAGGCGTCAGCCTGTACCACAGACGAAACCCTGCCTGTTGTACTTACGATTGTGATGCTAGCGGAAACTGATTTGAGGGATTGTAGTGTGGATCAAGGCGAAGTTCATCCTCGAAGATGGTCCTGACAGCAGAAGAGTAGTCGAATTTGTTTCTGTCCCTGAAAATGGAGTGCTGATGCGTGTACTCCGTGCCAAAGAGGGCTGCGGGGTATGGCGCGCCAAACGGTGCCGGGGCCGCAGGTGGTAGCCGTGTATGCGCCCAAGCCCAGCTCTTCTCGCGCAACTCCGATATCCGGAAGGAAGTCTCTACGCCCAGCTGCACACGTTCGGACGCGGTGAGGTAGGCCACGCGTTTTCCTATGCTCTCGTAGCCTTCCAGCAGCCAACGAGATACACAGTATCTCTTTCCTAGCAGGATCTTCTGGATAGCGCTGTCTTCGCCTGCCGTTCCCAATGAAGAGACCTCCTTGTCAGCAGACTCGATTGCCTTCGTACGAAGATCGCCGAGACACCACATTGTAGAGAGTTTCAATACGCTCATCCATTCGTGGACTGTCAGCGTGGGTGTTGAAACATTGTCGGGCCTATGATGGGCGTTGATTGGTGGGCCAATCTGGAGTGTCCTTGACATGAACTCACATCGGGATGCAAGCCTTGAGAAAGCTACGGAAGTCCATGGGTGTTACTTCAGCGGGTAGAACTATAGGGTTTTGATCGCTCAAGCCCTCCCCGTTCTCATTGGGGAACTCCAACATCGCTGAGAAGACGCCCTCTTCTAAAGGTAGTGCGTACACAGGAACCTTGAAGTGCGTCTTGCCAGCCTATTGAGTAGTCAGTGTGGAGCGGTGTTCCTGGCACGCTATGCAGCATACACGGAAGATAATGCTGTTGAAGTAGAAGTCCTCGTCCCGGATGAAGTCTAGTTCGTCGTTTTCGTGAGAAGGGAGCACGTTCCCTGAGTCCGAATTAGGCGTATCGCGGGAACTTGGGTGATTGGGCGTGGACTCAGAAGCCATCTCGACCGCCGGGGCACTTCGAACTTGACGCTCGTGAAGCCTTAGGCCTTATATACCGATACACGAGGCGCGCACGCGGAACGCACGAGGGATCGCTGGCGTCGATAACTGATGCAGATATAGATGTAATTCCGACGCGCTGGAGGTTCGTCGATTCTGTTGACTCAGACGCTCATCACTATAAGCATCCAAGCACCTGTGTATGCGTGTGGGCTGGCAAATCTTCATTTGATGGCGGCTGGGATTGCTCGATGTCGATGGGCATCGCACTCCGAAGCGCCTGAGCTTTCACAAAAGGCGAGTCACAACGTGGAAGAGGTCGAATGTAGGGTCTGGACGTCCCATATCCTCACGGGAAGTCGTTCAACGGTCGATTTTGGTTACCACACAACTACAAGACCATCATGAGCTGCCTGATTCTCACATTCGTAGGCGGGTAACGACGAGAATGTAAGTACGTACTAGGAAGGTGATGCTCTTCATGTAGAACTTATCAGAGCGGGCAAAGCCGGCCGTGCTGGTTCCCGAGGTCGCATCTGCGGTAGAAGTGGAGGGGATATCTGTCAGGCTGTTGTCTTCTACGCGCATGGAGTAGATGTCGAGGGTGGACATCCCGAGGTCTCCGAGAAGTCTAGGCACTTTCGGAAGGAAGCTGGGCAAGTCGCGCGCCACTCGACCTGCGCCTTTATGCACTCTGACGCAAGTCACGAGGGAAGCGCGAGGCCAGGTCTCTGTCAAGTATGGCATAACGATACCCAAAGCAGAACGCGGCAAAATTGAAGGGAAGAGGGTCTATGTGGTGGGATAGAAATGAACCACTTTCATAACACGGGGAACGTCGTCATTACATCCCGCCCATAGGGCCAGCCACACTAAACGAAGCCAGCGCGCCAGTCCTCCCTCCATCGACCTTCCCAGCCTGCCCAGCCCACCGCTTCTCCCGCCTGAACCGCTCTTGAAGGAAGAACGCCACGACGACGGCATCTTGTAGCTCTTGATCATCCGCCGCCGGTCCCAGGAGATGTAGTCCAGCCGGTTCAGGCGCCGCAGGTGTAGAGCTCACGAAGCGCGCGAGTGGAAGCGCGTCTTTGCTGGCGAAGAGCTATCGAACGTTGAATACCGCGATGAACGTAAAAAACAGCGCCAGACGTACATCCAGCCCCCCGCTCTCCTCGTCCGCCCTCCACCTTCCACCTCCACCCCCTCACCACCCCAGCCCGTCGCCTTACCCGCCTTCCCCCCCTTATACGCGAGCAAATCGCCCCTCCACCGCGCGCGCCATATCCACCGCGCCAGCTCCTCCCCGCCCGCTCCTTTCGTGACAGCGGTAAAAGCCGTAGATCCGGGGTCGATGCCGGGGTGGGAGGCGATGGTGTAGAGAGGTTGGTCGGGCGACGATGGGGGGTGGAGGGTGCTGTTGTATGTGTTGTCGGCGCTGAGGTGTAGGATGAGGCCGTTGGATTCCATGATTATGTCGTGAGTAAGAGTATAGCAGGAGCCTGGGCTGGAGTGCGAGTGGTAGATCCTATTTTGTATGCGTCGACGGCGCTGCAGTTGCATCGCCTTGCTCGGGCGGTCCGGTCGGTAGAAGGTCATACGGCCCAGCGCCGACAGCTGTCAGCGCCATGGTGGAACATCGAAGTGCAGGGTAGGCGCCCAAGTCCTCTGAGGCTCGTAGTTCCTCTACCAGTATCGCAGTATGGGCGATGTAGTCGTCGAGGCGGCGTGCGGGGCCGAATGGATTCACGCGGTTTAGATGGGTAGGGGTGCGCCACCCCATACGGCCAAGTGTAGAGCGAGTATGGGCGGTAGCATGTCGATGGGTAGTGTGATGGAAAGGCTGGGATGTTGTCGGGCGATGAGCGATGGGCGATGGAGACAAGAAGAACGTCGGCGTCGTCCTATCCCCATGCAGCCTTCGACACGGCATTCGCCGTCACCTCCACATATCAGGCCAATAAACTCACGGCCTTCTATGCAGGCGAGGTGCCTCATTGAGTCGGCATATCCTAAGTGGCACCCGGCGCACCATACAGCGAGTTCACTCGAAGCAAGCTCTTGCTCCGACAGGATATGCTATATGGAAATAGCGCGAGTACAGACCAGAATTCCAACCCCGGCAGGCTATATGCGGCAAATATACATTCAACAGGTTACAGTACCAATACAATCCTAATCCCTCGCCCTCGTCACGGCCCACCCGACGACCCCGCCAGCTGAGACCCCGCCATAAACCCTCCCATAGCGCCGAACCACCTCACAGACCCATCACGAGCGCCGCTCTGCGCCGCCCACCCCTTCTCTCGCCGCGTCCGCTCCTGCAAGAACAACGATACAACGACCATATCTCGCAGCTTCTCATCGACATCGATCGCCGCAGGGTCAAGGAACTGTATTCTGGCCGGTTCTGGTTCAGTGTCGGAGGACGCGGATGAGGATGAGGAGCCCACGAAGCGCGCGAGCGGACGGGGGCGTTCGTTCCGTGGAAGAGCTGAACATAACCGTAATGCATCAGCGGTGCGGACTGGGTCGCAGGTCCTGCCGCACGTACCTCGAGCGCGCCGCTCTCATCGTTCACGTTCCACTTCAACCCGAGCTCCGTCGTCCAGCTCGTAGCCTTGACACCCTTCCCTCCCTTATACGTGAGCAGGTCACCTCTCCACCGCGCCCGCCACTCCCACCGCGCAAGCGCAGACTCAGAGGTACCCGACCCCTTCGTGACGGATGTGAACGCCGTAGAGCCGCGGTCGATACCTGGGTCGGAGGTGACGGTGTAGAGCGGTTCTTTGGGCGATAGAGGGGATGAGAGGGTCGTGTTGTATGCGTTGTCGGCGCTGAGGACGAGGGTGTTGTCGGTTGATTCCATGGTGCAGTGTGGGTCTATATAGGTAAGTTCGGTGGGCTCAGAGGCAGTCGGTCCCGGACCCCATCTGTATGCGAGCACGGCGCCTCAGCCGCACTGCCACTCAATCAGCGGGAAGTCATAAGCCTCCTCGCAGACAGGCGGCGTCCTTGCACCCGGGCGTCCATTGTGATATGCATCGTAGGCGTCTGAGTGGGGAGTCGCTCCGAGTGGTCTTGTTGCACAGGTCTTGTACATGCTGGGTGGTGGCGAAACGCAAGTGACGTCTACGCCGAGGAACGGGTCCCCGCGCCGTTCGGGATCTTAGGGCCTGACGCTGCCGCTCAGAGCAAAGTATACAGACGTTGTGTCGATGAGATTGACACGTTCAAACTTCAGCGATGGAGGCAAGAGCCAACGCGTCCAGGTCAAACTTTCAAAGACCGAGTGGTCCAGGTTCCATCACGGCAAACACCGTCGTAGTCGCAGCCAGCCCAGACAGATTCGCCATATGTACTTCAGTTGTTCAGTAAAGCAAGCCCATGATTATCGATTATTAAATCGTCCGTATTACAACTAAAAGCTACAAGAACCCGCGTATATCCAGCCAAAGAGAACATCATCACACTCCTCAGCCTATAAATATAAGTAAGCACAAGCTACACAGCGATCCGCTCCTGCTGTATACGCCCCAGCTGATAATCTACCGCAACGTCAGCGTCACCCAAGACCACACCAGACCTCTGAGAGAGATACGCACTCATAAGCGCAGAAGAGGGCGCGAAGTGCGCCATCGCCACTTGCAGCTCGTCGAGCGCGGCGAGGAGCTCGGCTTCGCCCAGAACTGGCACAGTGAGGACTGAGGGATCGAGGTAGAGCGAGCGCACGGTGATGATCTCGTTGATCAGCACGCGGCATACGGCGGCCCACATTGCCTGTCAACACGACACGATCAGATCTAGCAAGGGAACGATACAGTAAAATGCGTACCGCGACGCCATGGTCAACGAAAGGAAACTCCAGAATCCGCGCCGCCGCGCCCGCCCTAATAATCGCAAGCCCCGCCTCCAGACACTTATGCCTCGACGCCGAATTCTGGTTCGCAAACGCCGCATGCAGCTGTATCGTCACACTCTGCGCAATACAATGCGACGCGTGCAGCCTCTGCCGCGCGGCGAGCGGGAGCACCGACAGCCCCGGCACGGGCGCGAGCCCGGCCTTGAACTCCTCGATGCGCGTGTCGAGCGCGATGAACTCGGCGTAGTAGCCCGCGGCGTTCGGCAGCTCGGGCCGCCAGGAGGACGCGAGGCGCGTGGCTTGCTCGAGCAGCGCGGCGGCTTTGGAGAGCTCGGCGAGGCTGCTGTTGTTCTCCCACGGCCAGCCGATGCTGATGCCGTTCAGGAAGGACTTCAGCGTGCCGCTCGTGCGCAGCTCCGGGTACAGCCAGCCCTATACAGTACGTGTATCAGCCTATTGGACGTGGTAGCACTAGGAGAATGCGTACCCGTTCGTACACCTCCATATCCAGCGGCCAAGGCGTGTCGATCTGCGTAGCGCCATCGACGTCAAAAACGGGCGAAGGCACCCCCAACACCACCGCCCAGACGCGCGACATCCAGTACGAGGTCCAGAAGCCATTGATGCGCTCGCCCTCCTCGACCTGGTCGTGCGGCTCAGGCAGCATGACGCTGATAGGGTCCATGAACGTCGCCCGGCGCGGCGTGGGAGTAGCCGAGCGGATCTTGTGCAGCGAACAATGCACCGCGAGCGCCGCGGCGGCGTCGGTGTGCACGCTGCCTTCGATGAAGCGGCCGGAGTGGTAGAGATATGTGGCCAGGAGGACGTGCGCCTGTATGACCTGGACGACGTTGTGTAGGAGCGCGCCTGCGAGCGAGTGGCCGATCTCGCTCATGGCTTGCGCTAGGATCCCGGGCGCGTGGGGCGCGAGGTCATCGGAGTTGGAGAACTTGATGCCCCAGAGATGGACGGCGGTAACGAGGGCGGGTATCGGACGACCGAAGCTGCCGGATGGTAGCGCCGCGCTGGCACGATAGCGTACTTCGTGAAGGAACCACGGGAGGTGACCGACGTTTTCGAAGAAGATGTCGACGCTGCGTATAGCGGGTCAGCATAACCGTTTCATCTCATTACAAGGAAAAGGATACAGTACAGTTCAGACGCGACGTCGACGGGGAGGTCTTCCACGTCCCAAACAGTTGTCGGAGGTGCATGCGTGCCTAGGAGTTGCGCAGGATCTGTCATCTGCCACGACAACGGGAACGCGGAAGACCGATAGAACTCACTGTCGGCAGGGCTGGCAGGACCCGTGGTGGACGGTCCCGGGGAGCCCTGACGCAGTTCGGGGACTACGTTCGGCCCTGAGGCGGTAGGGCTTTGGAGTTCCTGCACTCGAGTCTCCAGACGGGTGATCGTATCCAGCAACGTCTGCGTCCGCGAACGCCCTTGTGCGTCCGCATACTCGCAGTCGTCGCCGCGCCCTGCGTGATCGCAGGGACCGCATACGGGTCTGTGAAGCGACATAAGCGGATGCCAATAGCACGAGTACTCGGACTGACCTTGCTCCATCACATTTCTAGTCGGAGAACGTAGAATGTTTAGCAACTTTCTACCGCACCGAGTATAGACCTAGATCTGTACACACCATTTTCCGCCGTCTATTGTGACGCCGGGCAGAGTATGAGTAGCTCTGTTGAGCCTGTCAAGTGAGTTAATGCGAACCGACAGTTGAGACACGCTTTCCCGCGCTGGAGAGCGCTAGAGGTCCCGGCACGCGAGGTGCTAGCCCGGGTATCCGCGGATGTAGAGGGAGAGGTAGCCATATTGTATAGGAGAAGACAGTAGACAATAGAGACTCAGAGGTATAACGAAACAAGCCTGCGTATGTAGCATGCGGGCCGGACAGTGCTCTCTTTATATACACGTCGCACCGGCAGTGCCAGTTCATTATGGGCAGGCCTAGTGCTTTCTTCCGCTCCTCGGCGGCCACGGGTCCATCCGAGCCGTCCGTGCTCTTCGTGTATGGAATACATGTAGACATCTTCGTCAGTTCACCGTATACGGTTGCTAGGGGCCTCGTGACAGTGTATAGATTCGTGCATGCGATGATCGTAGTGGTTGGGAGAAGAGCGAAGCGACGAGCGCCAGCCTCGTTGCGGTGACGCGCGTCACGTAATCCGGCAAAGTCCGGCCCATGTCCCGCGCGAGGCCGCCGTTTTGCTCCCGCACCGCGATGATTCCAGAGGCAGCTCGTCAAGAATTCTCTTTCCTGTTGCTCAATGCCATCCTCATGTACAACGTCTACTGAGAGTGGACGCCGTGAGCAAAACGCTACCCCTGCCTATGGGTATAGCCATACGTCAAGTTTACGACCTTATTCAGCCTCACGACTGGCTGACTTCCCATGAACGCATCACGCATCGCTACGAATAATCTCGGTACGCTCTCGACCGGATCTGGGCTGTAACTCAGTATCTGCATATGTAAAGCTCTTGTACAAGCTGGTCGTAATGGTGGATCCAGCGCGGCTGGTCGGAAATATTGAGAGAAGTGTGACCGGCCTTGCTCCGCGGCGGCCTACTTTAAACGGGCGCCGTCTCCATTTCTTCCCGATTCTACTCGTTCTCTATGCATTCGGTCGTTGTAATGGCGCGCTGGAAGATGCTTGGATGCCTCTACGACAGTCTAACCACTCTCCGCGGCAGCCCTTCGAAGGGATTGCGTGCATTTAAATCTTACACCGATTGCTCTCACACCGCCGCTAGCCCCATCGGGCTCGGGCCGTCTTTTTCTTCGTACAGGTATTGATATCGTTCAAGACGAGTTACTAGAGGCTTATTGTTTTTTGCGGTGGCTTAGTATGTGTACGAGTTAAGACAGGTATTCGTGCACCTGATAGAGTTATCGAGTACACCAGGGTCTTGACTGAATAGTGAACCGCTAATCTGGGCACCGTCTATAACATGGTTCATCCCCTCTCAACCAGGACTGAGCAGCATCGACCGACATTTGCTTCAGGTTCGGATACAGAGCCCACATGTGGCACCAAGAAGACTTGGAGCTGAACTCTTCAGGACCGTCCATGTGATTTTGACCTGCGCTTTCACGGTTGAAGACCGACACGCTTTGTGAGTAGTGCAAAGGCCTAGCCCAGCTTGCTTGAGTCTTAACGCGCTTTAGACCTTGCGCGGGTAATGTACGGAGGAAGCGCGTACGCGGGACGACGCACACGCAAGTCAAGCGCTCACGTTTTGGTATATCAGCAGGGTCCAACTTGTAGCCTGGTGGTTCGCATCTTGTAGAGTAGACGGCGCAACTTAAACGAATGAAGGACATTTGTGATGACTGATTAAGTTGATTGAACATGGCGCCGGTACACATGGTGCGATTGTCGAGGACGAATAAAGGTAGGTATTCAGATCAACAACGTCGAATGAGGTTCCCCGTCAATACCTGTCACGATAGAACCCCTAACATCTCTGAGTAAAACGCTAGCAGTCCCCGTCGTCCAAATACGCGACCGCGCCTGCTCATTCGACTTCCTGTTGCATGAGACCGTCGTCCCAACGCGTATCAGATGTCTACAACGGACGGGGGGGGCGACTGACAGCCCGGTCTCCGCGAGAACTTTTGTGATATCAGCGCGCCATGGCGCAAACATGACGGGCGCCGCCAGTTCTTGTAGAGGGCGTCAAGAAGCCACAGCAGTGAATGTCGTCGGTCACTAGATATTGCCTGCATATGAGCGCATCAGCGCATGCAACCCCATAAGCCGTGCCAAAGGAACGCACCATCAGCCAATACCAACCATCCCAACTACTCCGTATATGCTACATCCGCATACGACTCATGACCTGTGCCAACCGGGCAGCTATCATGGCCCACTCAGGAATCCCAACGGAGCTGTGGCATAGGCTATCACGCCAGTAGCACACTTTTCGAATCTGCCGTATTTCGTGCCGGCTTGGCCTCAGGGGAAGAGAATCCGAGGAAGGTCGTGGTTAGTCTCCCGTAGGCAGACTCATGTCGCGCTGTAGACGTGGTTGGGAGCAAGCCGCACGCGTGCGAAGCAGGCTGCAGGCGGGACTCGGCGCAGACGCGCGCCCAAACGAGCGCTCGTCTTCGCACTGCGACTATGTATGCATGTTCTACGTATGTACCACGACGTACCAGGCTTCAGAATGAAGCTCACCGCCAATGCGCTGTGCTCCTGGCCTTCGGGCTACTGGCTATGTGAAGGAAACTGCTTGCACCGGCAATTCGCCACCGCCCTCTTCATTCGCAGGGTCAGAAGCGGTGTCTACGGCCATTTCAGCACAGTACCTCATGTCCGAGCTGCGCTGCGCGTAACCTCGAGGCCGGAGGCGGTACAATTAACTGTGACAAAGCTGTAAGAATGGCTGTCATGGACGACGGAGAGGCCTTACAGCATCAGTACGGTACGCGCGTTGCCACTGCAGAGGTCGAATGTCATCCATTATGTCTTCTCAATTACTGCCAGGTGTCTGCATGCCACGAGACTGACTTCTTACAGGATTCGTCAGCCACTGGTGCGTAAAGCGCCCTCGAGAAGCATAGCGCCCCGATCACCTCTCAGCCTTTCAGCGCTCTCAGCGCCGTGCCTCGTCCCCTCGAGGATGCCGCACCGTATAAGAACCACGACATTCGGCTCCCTGAGCTTCTCCCTTTCCTCCCACTTCCCACTTAACCACGGCTATATCTGGTCATCCCCGCGCGTGAGTCTCGACGTTCGCCGACCCGCCACTAGTGGCTGACACTTGTGATAGACCATGCCCAAGGAAGCTCGCAAGCGCACCGCTACACGAACTAGGACCGCTCCTGAGATCCTGTCGCGATCGAATCAAGCGTCGAACCAAGCTCGTTCTCGCCGCGGCGAAGCTTTGCGTCTCGCTACTTCGGGACATTCGTTATTGGAGCGGTTCGAGAGCTTGCATCAGCTTGAAGATCTCCATGGTGCGATAGCTGCGCAAGAGCGAGCCGCCGAACTCATGCATGAGGGGCATCCCCGCTGGCTGTATCTTGCAGATGACCTTGCTTCTAGCCTACGGCACCGTTTCGAGAACCTTGGCACGTTGTGTGACATAGACCGTGCGATTGCACTCCAAGAACGTGCCCTTGAGCTTACTGCCGAAGAGAACTCCAATCGGCCGTGGAGGCTCGACTGCCATGCGACTTGTCTTCGTCTACGCTACGAGACTATCGGCACGCTTCGTGATCTCGAGAGAGCAATTACAACGCAGAGACTTGCACTAACGCTGGCAGCTGATGCTTCGGACGCTCGACCTGTTTACCTCGCCAACCTCGCCAATTCTCTGGGGTTCCGCTTCAAGCGCCTCGGCGAGCTTCGTGACCTGGAAGAAGCGATTGCCGCAGACAAGCTCGCCATCGATCTCACGCCCGAATGCCATCCCGACCGACCACGGCGATTGAGCAACCTCGCCGTTTTTCTGCGGTTCCGCTTTGACCGCCTCGGCGAGCCTCGTGACCTGGAAGAAGCGATTGCCGCAGGCAAGCTTGCTGTTGATCTCACGCCCGAAGGCCATTTCGAGCGAGCACGGCGATTGAGCAACCTCGCCCTTTCTCTGCGGTCCCGCTTTCAACGCCTCGGCGAGCTTCGCGACCTGGAAGAAGCGATTGCCGCACACAAGCTCGCTGTTGATCTCACGCCCGAAGGCCATCCCGACCGACCACGGCAATTGAGCAACCTCGCCAGTTCTCTGCGGGCCCGGTTTGAACACCTCGGCGAGCTTCGTGACCTGGAAGAAGCGATCGCTGCAAACAAGCTCGCCGTCAATCTCACGCCTGAAGGCCATCCCGACCGAGCACGGCTTTCGAGCAACCTCGCCAATTCTCTGCGGACCCGCTTTGAGCGCCTCGGCGAGCTTCGCGACCTGGAAGAAGCGATTGCCGCAACCAAGCTCGCTGTCGATCTCACGCCCGAAGGCCATCCCGACCGAACAGACAGGTTATGGCAAATGGGGTACTTAGTGAAGGCATTGCTTGCGATTAAACCAAGCAAAATACGCTTCGACGCAGCGCTCGAGCAAATGATGAAGGCAACGGTACAAACACTCGGTTATCCAGCATCACGATTGAAATCAGCTCAGGCATGTATATCATTACTATCGGAATACCCGCAGTTTAGCTCTGCGGAACTGGTGCTTGAGGCTCACGCCAAGATCATCCAGATCTTTCCTGAGATCGTGTGGCTTGGGCATAGTCTCGAGCGCCGATATAGCGAATCGGCTAGGCTCGGAAGCGAGGTCAATTCAGCGATTGCTGCTTTCATCAGGTTGCGTTCGAGATACCAGGCCATCGAGTGGATGGAAGCCGGAAGATCCCTCGTCTGGTCGCAGATGTTCTCTTTGCGCCAGCCCTTGGAGGATTTGGAAAGGGTACACCCAGAACTAGCCTCGAACCTGCGGCAGATCTCGTTGTCGCTCCAGCACTCGGATAGCTCATCTCAGCCCACGCCGGCACAGTTTCGCCACGGTAGTGAACGCCCTGGCCCAGTAGTTGCCGGCACTGCTCACGGTATGACTACAACTGCCGATGAAGGAGCCGCACCTTCTTCGGTAGACCGTCGCAGGCAATTGGCCATCGATTATGACGATCTTCTGAGAAACATTCGCCGCCAAGAGGGATTCGAAGACTTCCTGCGTCCCGCGAAGATCAATAGTCTACTTACATCCATCGAACACCTCGACGGGCCCGTCGTTTTCATCAACGTGCACTCGTCTTCTTGTGATGCCCTTGTACTCTTTCCGAACGGCGGGATTGAGCATATAGGGTTACCCAAGCTCAGCGAGAGCCGGGCGCAGGGATTACGCTCGACCTGGACCGAGTTTCTACGGTCATCTGGGCTGCGCGTGCGCGGTGTTATACCGGCTGGTAGGCTCGTAAAGGGTCGTATGAATATGTTGGGCAAGGTCCTTAAACAACTATGGACATGTATTGTGAGGCCCATTCTCAAAGCACTGCATTTCGTGCGTTTTCTCGTTCTGTGCTCCACTGTGTGACTTTCATTGAATCTTTCACAGCTGAACGATGCACCTTCCGCTGAACACGCGCTTCCTCATATCACCTGGTGTGCCACTGGGCCATTAACGCAATTACCTCTCCATGCCGCGGGCATCTACGATCATCCGCAAAGCCTTTCACACACATACGATTTCGTGGTTTCATCATGTACGCCGTCCCTTTCGGCACTCCTGCGCTGCCACAGACAACCAGGAACCCGCCAGCAGGTCACCCGCCCGAACGTGTTAATCGTCGCACAGCCCGACACACCTACGTACGCCTCTCTGCCTCACACGAAGGACGAGTGTGAGCGACTGCGCGCAGCCATGTCTGAACGAGCGTACACCTTCGACTCCCTGGTGCACGAGCAGGGCACCGTAGCAAATGCTCTTCACGGTATTGGACATCATCACTGGGTCCATCTCGCATGTCATGGAAAGCAGAGTGCGGTCAGCCCTACGCAGAGTGCATTCGTGCTGTATGACGGCCAGCTGACGTTGGCCGCTCTGATGGGCACGGTTGCAGAGAACGCGGAGCTCGCGTTCCTCTCTGCATGTCAGACCGCTGTCGGCGACGAGAAGATCCCCGAGGAATCTGCCCACCTTGCGGCGGGAATGCTAGCAGTAGGCTTCAAGGGCGTCATCGGGACGATGTGGTCTATCTGGGACGCAGACGCGCCGATCATCGTGGAGGCGTATTATGGACGGCTTCACAAGTTGCGGAACTCCGGAAGAGATGGTGATATCGCTCCGGGATATACGGGAGCAGCGTATGCACTACATGATGCGGTCAAGGTTTTGAGGGAGCGGGTGGGCGAGCAGAACTTCATGCAATGGGCTTCATTCGTGCATTTCGGTGTTTAAATGGTCTCGTTGATGACCCCATTGGACTCTAATACATCTTTGCTATACATCATGGACTCTCGCGATCGTCGCCGTCACCGTCACCGTCATCCTGCTCCTTTGACAGTCGCATTTCGCTCCTGTAGATCTACCGTGCCTAGACACTGGCCTCTACTATGGATTTCCATTTTGTGTGACATGCACAGGCACGATAACCGCCCCGCAGCTTCAGCAGCGCATATCGGTTGGTTCTATGCCTGAGCGTGGCGGTATACCATTAGAGGCGAAGGTACCGAAGGGGGTTCAGGAATGTTGAATCAGGCAGACTTCTCTACAGATAGAAGACGTCAGTATCAATCGTTGGACACGATATAGGGCGAGCGCACCGTTGGCATAATAAATCCCGCTCCTATATATTAGCATCTCCACTCAGAGCCACGTATCCGACTCGTCGTCACGATGTCGCAGGTCGGCGCCAGCCCAAGCAGGTGCAATAGGCGGGTACTACGTGAATTGGCGCGGGGACTCATCGTCAGGACGACGTCGGAGCTGGAGGTACTGTGTCTATGTCTTGAAGAAGGCTGAGCATAGCATTCGCAGTTAAGGTGAAGCAGGTCGTGGTCAAGAGGAAGCACAGGGATGGCCGGGTTTGGAGAAACGCGGTCAGATGACTTTCGCCGGGGCGCCTCGATGCATGATGCTCTGAGTTCTTGAGCTGCTGGTAGGAGAATGGTATTCGAGAGTCTACCTACGTCTCGCCGATATAATTTATCATCTATCCTCTTACATATTGTGTGAGGACCAAGTCTGGACAGGCGCGGGTCGTATGTCAAAGTCAGAGGCCTCCCATTCAGCTTACATTCTATCACATGCTATGTCGTTGCCATCGTATGGGCTGATCAATTGAATCCACGAGATACATCGTACTGGAACATGTCTGCTCTAATGCACAAGCTATGCCTTCCAGAGCGACTCGTCAGATACGATGGACTCTACTCCTGCAAAGCGTGGCGTTATAGTACACTTGTACTCGTCCGGACCACTACAAGAGGGTGAGTTGTTATGACACAGGAAGAGAAACGTGATACCACGCACATGATGAAACCCGTAACAACAATATCATCGGCGTTCAAGTCGACCTCCGAGCCGTCCCTATCAAGCGATTTGCTAAACTGGAAAACCCACAGCAACACCGAGAAGGCCGCGAACAGCGCGTCGTTGGCAACGTGTTGTCCGATGCAGACACGCCGACCAAAGCCAAAAGAAACATGCCCATGCTCTTTCGTTGCAGGTGGTGCAGGCGCCAACCGTCCTTGTGCATCGAGATGGCGCTTAGGCCTAAAGATCTCCGCGTCGTCTCCGTACACCGCGGGTTCGCGGTTGCAAGGCAGCATGTTCGCCATGAGCACGGTACCTTTCGGTATGAACATGCCCTGGTAGTAATCGTCCTGCTCGGCTGTATGCGGTACGCCCAGACAAAGACCCGAGCGCCAGCGCATCACTTCGCGAAGTACGGCGACGGTGTAGGGAAGGTTTGGGCGGTCGGCGACGGTCGGTAGACGTTCGCGACCAATCACGGAGTCCAGCTCTGCCTGGACGCGCTTCTGGATATCCGGATGAGAGATCATAACTCGCAAGCACCACTTGAGAGCGCTTGATGTAGTCTCCGAGCCTGCGGCGCTACAAGGGATAAACTATAAGTGTTTCGTGGCGGGTGTGAGATGGCGATGCACGTACTACATGATTCCCGCGGACCATGCAGCCTCCAGTTTCGTGACGCCGAAGCGATCAAGCTCTTCCACGAGCGTAGCCACAAGGCACGGCCGAGCAGTCCCTTGTTTCTGTAAGATGCGAAGTCAGCTCGTCGCGCTACCAGATACTGTAATCAGTTCAGGGGAACCAGACGCACCATCCTCGCTTCTACATCATCGACCAAGCCCATGAAGAAGCGTGTCGTGTCTTCGAACACCAACCGCGCATCCCTCTTCCACTTCGCCGCCCACTCTGGTGCATACGCCAACCAGGGCACAAGCTGGACGAACTGGTCGACCCGGGTGAAAGCGATGTTTTGGTGGATGTATTCGTCGATGCCTGCACGCAAAGCCTTATCGTCCGGGCCACCGTGTAAAGGTCGATCGTAGGTCACTGAGAGCATGACCGACGACACGTAGTTACGAACGTGGTCGTGGAAGCCGGCTGGATCACGGATGAGAGTGGCGGCGAGACGAGTAGCTTCCTCGACCTCCGCAGTATGGAAGCGACTGGCAGCTGACTTATTGAAGCCTTCGTGGATGATTCGGCGTTGGCGGCGCCATCTACGTTCTCGCTGTGAGCCCGATGTGTAGTCAAAAAGTATACAGCGCGTACTGGTCGTCGTGTGTCTGGAAGGGCATGAATAACCCGCCACTCATCATATCATTGCGAACAGCGAAATGAGGGCGACCGGAGTAGATTGATGCGCGTTTATCGAAGAGATCGGAAGCTGCGGTTTGCGTGTTGAGTATGATAGTCGGCTGGCCTACGACATTGAGGTATACGACGTCGCCTATCGCAGTATGAGCGCTCTACCGGACAGTTGACTTCCCAGGCCCTTGCGCCACGCGCCACGACGCACCGTACTTGGGAGTCTCGAACATCAGCCAACGCACATTCATGAACTGGAGCATGTTCCCGATCAAGGGGTACCCAGAAGGTCCGGGCGGTAACCTTCGCCAGGGGCTGCTCCAGTAACGAAAGGCGAGGTAAGCCAGAACATTGATTGCGATAGCGATGACGAGCGATGAGCGCTCCCTGAGCACAGAGTACACCTGCGAATAGAGTTGATAGACCGCCCTGAATGGACGGGTCAGCGGTTGAGTGATGCCAGAGTTGGATCAACCTTACGATGCCATGATGGAACACTGGGCGGGGCGAACGCTCGTTGCAATGTTCAGGATGAGATCGTCCGCGTCTTATAAGTACGACCACGAGGGCGCCACGAAGCTCAAGTCTATCACAAACGCCTGATGGGCCGCAGTCAGATGGGCGCTAGGCGAATTGGTGATGCCAACATACCGACATATGAACTGCAAATCATCTCATTGGTCGATTGAATACGCTTGAAGGGTTGAGGTACCTTTGGTCGGCGGTAAGTAGTATGGCAAATGCAAGCCATAAGCTTCAGCTTCAGCCGTCTCCAAGCGATCGAACAAAGACGATACCACTGCAGATCCGCCGTCCTCGAAGCAGGCTCGGGCGAGCATCGCCGATCACAGCATGTTCTTCTCACCCGCATGGAACGGGGCGCGAGCTTGCATGCAGTTGTTGACGGATGTCCGCGGACTTTCCTGCGTAGCTTGAGTTGATAGAAGAAATAAGTATAAGGATAGGACATACCGAAGAGCGCCATGGGCCATCGGATCAAGATGATGAGCAGAAAGTCGCGTTGTATACGAGCACTGTACTTTCCTAGCCGCTGCTAAGAGAGCTGTCTCAGCAAGTTCTGCCCGCCGAGTGTTCTCCGGGGGTCCTCGGATCGAGATGAAGAGGCTAGAAGAGGCGCAGATGAGGAGAGAGCATACCATTACCCACGAAGACTCGGGGACCTGCGGATATGACGGGTCAACTTAATGAGCATGACCATATATCTTCGTCTTGTCCTGAGCGCATGCTGGCAGCGAGACGAATACACGAGTTTACATCGCAAGACAGTAACAGCCCAAAAAACTCATCCTCGGAACGTATGGCTCACGTTCCCTCCCTTGACCTGCGTCCTATCGCGCGGTGCACGACCAAACGCGCTCGCAACAGGCGCTTGCGTACCTATATCACAACATGTCAGCATCTACACCACCCGCACAAACGAGCATCAACATACCCTTCGCCTCCTTCGCCCTCCTCTTCTTCCTCTCCCTCTCGCCAACCTTCTCGACAGCCGCATCATACCCATCCAACAAATTCGGCGCACTCGCATAATCGAACTCCTCTTCCCCTTCCTCAATCTTCTTATCCCCCGCCTCGCCATCCTTCCTCTTCGCAGACGTCTGCGCCGGCCTCTTCCGCTTCCTCTTCCCACCTGCCATCCCGACCTGCACGAGTGTATCCTGCAACGGCACGAACTCGGTATCGGCGTTACGCTGTGAAGCGGGAACGTAGGCGTGGGCGGCTGTAGCGCCTACGAGCTCGGCATCTCCGGCGTCCGCGGCTTCGGCCGAGTTTGCGCTTTCCGCCATCGTCAGCGTCGGCGTTGGCTCGGCGACGATTGATGGTGCGGCGGGTCCAACGCGCATACCGCCTCCAAGCTTGGCGCGGGCGGCTTCGAGGCGCACGAGTCGTTCTGCGGCTTTTGATGTTGATGAGGCTGGTACGGAGGCGGGTGGTGTGTTGAAGAGGGCGGAGGAGGTCGCAGACGAGAAGAGTGCAGAGGTCGATGCGGCGAAGGGTGATGGCGCGGACGGTGTGGGCGCGAGTAACGAGGCGGCTGCACTTGGGAAAAGCGACGAGGATGATGTCACAGAGCTCGAAGCGGTAGCGGATGTAGTCCATAGCGAGGGTGCAGACGCTGCCGCGGGCGCGAATGTAGGCGCTGGTACGGGCGCAGGAGTATCGACATCCATCCTCTCCGCCTGGTCCTGTTCTTTCGCGGCCGCCTCCACTTCGGCCGCACTCTTCCCAGCCGCGCCGCTCTCGACTAGCGCCTGCTTGACAGCTTTGCGCACAACTTCGAGTAGTTCTCCAGCACGGCGCCGTACTACAGGAGGCGGACTCCTTCCGAAACATGCTAGGAGGGCGGGCATATCTGCCGGTGTGCGGTCCGCGAGGGTCAAGAGTGGCGTATTGGGAAGAACGTAGCTGAATATGGTCAATTAGTATGACCATAGGCGATGGGTACTGTAGATGAGAATAGCATACCGAACGCTCTCGTCCTCCTCCTTCGCAACCTTCTCCCTCCAAGCATGCACAGCGACATACACCGCACGCTGTACACTCGGTCTCGCATCCGCCATCAAGTTCGCCTTGTTCCATTTCCTAGCGAGCGTATCCCATCCTCCTGGTCCAGTTCCTGACGAGTCGTACGTCTCGGGCACGAAAACCTTCAGCGCGGTCTGTGCGCTCCGCCTCAGCACCTCCTTCACCAGTCTCTCCTTATCCGGTTCTGCGCCCTCTCCTGCACTGCCACCTTCGCTCGCCGGTGATGCAGATCGGCTGAGCGCACGGTCGAGGAGGGCGTTGCGTACGCAGTCGTACACGAATAGTAGGAAGTGCGTGTCTGCGCGAGCGTAGCGCGTCATATCGTCCGGTAACGGCCGTATGCGCCAGTCAGCCAGTTGGTATCGCTTGTCGGGGCTGAAGTCGGCATAGAGTTCCAAGAGAGTGGCGAGGCCATGTCTCGGGAAGTTGAGGAGATGCGTCGCGTGGTAGGTATCGAAGAGGTTGACGAGGTAGAGGTTGAAGTTTTGCTGAAGCCAGACCACGTCTGATTCGGCGCCGTGTAGTACCTATTGAGAATGACAAATCAGATATCGTCCGAACATGGCGATTCAAGCGAGTTCACAAACCTTGACGATATTCGGGTCCGCGAATACCTCTCCCAGACAGCCCATCTCCCTCCTCACTTCCGGCACCAGGCAGTCGACGATCCAATCCCTCTCCCTAGTGCTGACCTGCATCAGGCACACGAAGCCCTCGTAGCTCCTGTAGCTATGATGCTCCAAGTCCACCGCAACCTCCGTCGCCTGCTTCAATACCGCAGCCATGTCGCGCAGCAGTTCAGGCGTGTCCACTAGCGTATAGGGCGTCTCGTCAAGCGGAGTGAAGGGTATGGGCGGAGAAGATACAAACATTCGTCTAGGGTGGACGAGATGTGTGATCTCGTACGCGTACGGATGTTGCACCTTCGCGACGCCTTCTCCATCTTCGCTGATGACGCCCTCCGGTAAGTCCGCGTCGGTCAAGACATATCCCTCCGGTACACGCGCGTGCCATTTATGCGTTCGCGGAATCGTAGCGCCAGCCCATTTGACTTGCGGCTTCGGCAGATGCGCCGCGTGTTGTACCACAACGGGTAGCGTCTCTCCTCCGTTCCCACCCTCTCCTGTCCTCGTTTTCTTCGCCTTGGATGCAGCTTGCGGCTGAGGGTTTACGGCAATAGCCGGTGCACGCGAGCGCCCAGCAGCAATATCGAGAGCCGCATCGGCGCGCTCAAGGAGCCGGTCCATCCTCTCCACTACAGCACCGGCGAATCTATCGTCAAAGTCCTCCGCGTCCTCCAATTCCACCATCTTTCCCTTCCCCTTCCCATCCGTGCTCGAGACGGTAGCAGCGAGTTTAAGCAAGGAATTTGTCAGAGCAAGAGCACGTAAGCTGGCAGCATCCAGTTGAGCAGCCAAAGAGCGGTCGAGAGAGCGATGAAAGGACAAGTCCGAGGAAGAAGGGAGGGCGGCAGCGCGTTGTGTTGCGCGGAGGGCTAAGGATTGCAGCGAGCTTTCCTTTGCCGCGTAGTTTTCTTTCGTAAGACCGCTCATATTGAGGGAAGACAAGGATAGATGAAATTCCAGTTTATGACTGAGCTAAGCGCCCAGAGCGAGCATGGAAGTAAGAACCGAGACGCGTCTTCATCGCGCTGCACGAAACTTTCGATCCAAACGCGCGCGCCACCCCGTCGTTTCTGCTCGCGTGCTCTCCACATGCTCCGGATCACCCCGACCAACCGGCCCAGAGCCACAGGCACACAACGGCAAACACGGATGCAGAGCCACAAACTGACGCGTGCGGTCTTACGCAGCATCCGCGTCAACCTCAGGGGACGAGCGTCAGCGAGACTCGGATGGCCTGAGTCGGGCCTCGGAGTCGGCGCGCTCCACGATGGCCGTGGTTCGGCAGCTTAGGCGCCCGCTGAGTACGTGCCGCCGACGGTGAACCGGGAGCGTCGTCACAGGGGAACGTGTAGCTATGTATAAGTACGCAAAGCATCCGCCGTGAAGTGAAGGTCATATCGCTACTACCCCGCACATAAAGCCCTCGATCCGTAAACGTCTACTACCTACTCCTATTCTTCCAAGATGCCCGCGCGCACGCCTATCCGTCCGACTTCGCGCCCTTCGTCCTTCTACTCGGCAGTCCAGCTTCTGTTCGCTACACCGGTTGCGCTTCCATCACCAGAAGATGACAAGCCTCTCGAGACGGAGCTCGTGGACCTCAGCTACCTGCGGCACCGGCGCTCTGTGAGTATACTTCTCTGCATACGACGGGTCTCTCATCTGACGATGCGTAGGGATCAAACAGCTCCAGTACATCTTTCGATAGCACGATCTCCGGCAGGACTGTCGACGCCTTCGATGCGGTCTTGACGCCGCAATCGCACCCACCTGCTCCCTCGCGCACCCTTGGCCCTCACCCGACCGAGAATGCATAATCCGCGCTTCGAATGCACCTCCATATACCCCATACCCTATCGTACGCGCACATCCGATTCCCAGTGAGAGCGAAGTACTGATCGGCATTCAGATTAGATCCATATCTAATCGCATCTATACACCCTCTGCTCGCGGATATTGGACTTGAATATCAATCATATCATACATGTACACTTCTACCGTTATCTCATGTGCCATTATAGACCCGATTATACATACTGCTAAAGCCCAGTTGCACCGCGCCTACAGCCTGATCTAGTTGCGCCATTTGCCGTGATGGGTGTACATACTCCCTGCGCTAAGCACCGGCATCCGTTCACAGAGCTCGTCGTCCATAGTACCGATGCCCTATCCCAACCTCACGGGAATCGTGATAGCGTCCCACATATCCGGAGCCAGCTTCAGCTGATTCATATTCAGCACTCCCATCGCCTCGCCAGGTGTCACTATGCCGTCTTGCTCGATAGTCGATAGCTCAAGATTCCTCGTGGAGAGGAATATCCGAAGAAAACCGCCGTCGAACGTCAGGCCCGCCGGAACCTCGAACGCGAGCGGAACACCGCCAGAATCGCCATAGTTGAGCGGAAGAGGCGTCTTCATGAATGGCGGCAATGGGGCTTCACTATCTCCGGATACGACTGGCGGGGAGTAGTATTCCTCTGGATAAGTTCAACGATGAGTATAATGTGCTGTGAGGCAAAGAATGTGCGAGAGATGCGTACTGATTTGGAGCGTGCTGCAATCGAAGTAAAACAGCCAGACGTACATCTTGACTCCGGACCGATTGAGCACGTCGACGCCATAGAGCGTCTGCGTCGGCTTCGGCCCGTTGACGCGGGACAGCGTAGGCTTGAACAAGCCGCACATCTTCCCGTCGATGAACCGCGCGGAGGGTCTCGAATTATTGAACAGCACTCCATCTTTACCAATCTCCACACCACCATCCAGCTCGCAAATTCGCACATCGACATGTTGACGCAGAAGATGAGCGGACTTGGGGGATGGGGATGAACCGAGGTGACGGAAGAAGTGGGCGGCAGACCGCAGGGCGGGGAGGAGAATCGTATGGTCGCCCTTCATAGGCCCGCCCAGGCGCTTGAGCCCCAGCGTCTCGTAGATGATGCCGCTCTCGAACTCGAAGTAGACGGTGTTGTCCTTATGATGAGCAATGGAGATGGACGCCTTGTTCGCAGACGACCTGGCGACGCGAGGTGCAGATTTGTCCGATGGGCCGGTGTTGATTGATTCGACGGACTCCTGGACAACCTGCTTAAGAGCTTCCTCTACCCTCTGTCGAAGTTCCGGGTATTGGCCACCGTCGATCTTGACGTTGACACGAAAAGCGTCGGGACTCTTCACGCGAGACAAGGACGCAACAGCGTTGCCGATGTCGGGGATGTCGAAGGCGGAGTTGTCTAAGAACGACACGAAGCTCGAGTCTGAGGTGACAGATTGGACGACGAGATGGCCGACGGCATCTCCTCCCGATGAGTACGTGCTCCGATCGCGGTACACGGCGAACACGTCGTCCTTGCCCACGCTGTTGATCTGTCCCGCACGGATGAGATACGGTGCTGCGGTGGCAGGTTCCTTGTTGGGTTCGATACCGTAGCAGTCACGATCGCGCTGCTTGAGACCCGCGTCGAAGAGGATCCGTTTATGCTTGTCACGTCCTTCGCATCGAGGAGTTTGGCTGAGTACTAATCAGTAAGAGCTGGTGCCAGGGGGAGATGACATACGATGGCAAATTGTCCAAACGCCCAATCAACTCCGAATAGGTCAAGGTGTCCGTGCCGGCATTCTCGAGGACGCCCAGGAAAGCCGACGTGAAACGGCCCTCATGCTTCTCACGGTCCTCATAGGCGCTCTCGTCCGGGCCGCAAGCCGCCAGAACGACATGAGACGTCAAGCCAGTGTTGGCGAAGTTGGCCATATAGGGAATGCCCCGTTGAGCGCTGGCCCACAGGTCTCGTTGGTACATCGGGTCGAGCGTGAGTTCCTTGTCATCGACTGACTTGAACTCCATGCCGCGGGGCACGGCGTCGTTGCGAGTGCCCGAGCCGGAGTGGCAGCAATCGAGGATCACGGTCTACGTTCATCGTGAGTATGGCATCAAGTTCGATTCGTCCATGAGAACGTACAATGTTCTTGCCCTTCTTATCCGCTAGGCGCTCGAGGAGCGCGCCGAAGGTCCTGTCGGGGATGACATTGATCACTGTATTATTGGGGCCGACGCGGGCGTCGTGCGGCGACAGGCACTGGATGCGCGAATTTTCGCTCACCCAGCCCTCTGGTTTCGGGAGTGTACTGCCGTGTCCAGCATAGTAGATCAGGATGGGGTCGCCGTAAGCGGGCAGCTCTTTGCCACGCATCTCGGGCGGAATGTCCTCTTTGGCATGGCCGCCGCGCCCGACTTGAAGCTCGTCCGCGGTGGAGAGACATAGATACTGGAGGAACTCGATGATCGTATCCGCGGTCGCACGGGAGTTCTTGAGAAGAATGATGCGGTCCTTGCTGACGGGAGGTTGTTGGTGAAGCAGGAAAGTCTTGATCTTCTGTGCGTCTTTGACTGCACCTAACAGGTTGAGCTTAGGATCCGCATACTCGTCGACGCCGACGAGGAATGCAAAGAGCCTGTAAGGATCCGTTAGGATAGTGCAGAATGGCAACGCGGCGGTACTCACTTGCTTTTCGGCGCCGTGGGTAAGGATACATCGATCGATGTATCTACCCTGGTGAAGAAGTCGTTAGTCCCTCGCCCAATTGACGATGTCTGGACATCGTATACCTCGACGAGGCTCGTGTACTGCAAGTGCTCAGGTGAGACGAGTACGATGAATGTACAGTCAGAAGGTGCCTACCTATTACAGGTGCTCGGATACATGATTGGGGGATGAGTAGCCGGTGAGTTGTCGCAGGTCGGCTGCCGAGTCCTTGCTCGAGCTGAAGTACATATGCGGCGCCCAGTACGACCGTGACGGGTGGCGATACCCTGAGATTCCCGTGCCGTGCCGAGGATCGATGGCGGCCGTGGTGGGCGCTTGACTGGTGCCCCGAGGCGATGAACGGACTACAGGTAATGTGGCCAACACAAGTCATAGTCGGCGAAGAAGCACTGCGGCATCGTTTCCTACAGACAAGATAGCGCGCGGCGGCAACGGCGTAGGGGTGGCACCACGGGCAGTTGAACCAGGTCGTCGAGAAGTCCTACACCTGATGAAGGTGGCTGTACATCGGGTACATTGAGAGACGTTCATTTTCAGCTTCCATTCATGAAGAGGATGTCATAGCAGGACATGCAGTGAATACGGAAAAGGTGTGTGTGTCAAAGTCTGCACTGTGTTTCGAGGGCTATGCACATGAACGTGGGAGGCAAGACCGCCGTGCGCGGCGCGCCGCCTGATTGATCCCTGCGCCCATCACTGCTCGTGGCCCCGACATCCATGCACTCAGCCTCGCGAATGTATACTCATGACGGTACCTACTCTTTCTAACCTAGACCTACGGCCGCCTCGACTATCACCGGCCGTCTGGCGCTGAGCGCTAACCGAAGCTAACATTAAATCGGGTCAATGCTACGGATGGTTTGCCCAAATGCTCGGTGCGCGCATATTTGCACTCGCTCACATCACAACTTTTTCCTTAGAATGGGAAGGAACACATGTTCCAGTGGGCGACATCTCATGTTATGAAGGACTATATGCTGCATATCCTGTACTACCGTCTGCTAGAATGGCGCTCAAACATGATGGAGGTCTGGCCATATGCACCATAGTCTGTCTGCATGGCGCAGCATGAGTAGGGGAAGGGACTGGCATGGTGTACGATACGATCAAACACCATGATTATACATTAGACCAAGATTAAACACCAAAGTGTACGAACGAAGCCCATTTCACAAAGTTCTCCTCATCAACATGCTCTCTCAAGACCTTCACCGCGTCATGCAACGCATACGCCGCACCCGTATACCCCGGCGCTACCGTTCCCGACTTCCTAATCTCGAGCAGACTCTTGTAGTACGCCTCGACGATGATAGGCGCGTCATTATCCCAGATGGACCACATCGTCGCAATGACGCCCTTGAACCCGACCGCCAACATTCCCGCTGCGAGATGAACGGACTCCTCGGGGTTCTTCTCGTCGCCGGCGGCGGTCTGGCAGGCCGAGAGGAACGCGAGCTCTGCGTTCTTCGCCACCGTGCCCATCAACGCTTGTAAGGTCACAGGCCCATCGTACAGCGCGAATGAGCTTGACAGCGGATCTGCGATCTTCTGCGAGCCGTGGCAGGCGAGGTGCACCCACGGATGCTCGCACATCGCTTCGAGCGCGCGCTCCACTGTCGCGTCTTTGTGATCCAACAGCGTACGTGCATAGTCAGGAAGGACCGTCTCCAAGCGTGCCCGCTCATCTCGTGTGCAGGCAAGAGGTGCATAGCTGGGCGTTGCGGGCTGCGTGACGACGAGGACCTTGGGATCTAGCGATGGATCGTTTGGGCCCTGCTGGCAGCGAAGGAGTGCGGAAAGTGATGGGGTGTAGGACGAAACGGCGTGGTCGAAGGCATGAAGCCCGTTGTCTTTCGCGTCGTCATAAATACCCGCCGCGTGAAGAGGAAGCCGAGTGAGCGGGCCAGTGGGACACCATGTGATGTGCGGCAATCGGCCCGTGGTCTCTGACATGTTGCGTATCTATGTCTTACGTCAGCGCGTACCATGTATCCGACGATATGATTGACATACGAGTTTAAGAGCTTCGAGAATGGGGCATACGATGAGCTCCCATAGACGGGCTAAGACGTGCCCGAGGCTGTTCTTGCGATCCACGAGCCTGATCTTCTCCCATGACACGACTCCGCGCTCTCGAGCGTTAGCATACGAGAGAGAAGTTATCCATGCCTTCTCGAGTCTCCGAGCCTCGTCCTCCGTCAACGCCGTGAGCGGGATATGATCGATGGTTCCGTCAGGAAACAGGGCCAAAGCATTGCAAGAGGATGAATGCGCGTTGATGAACACGACAGGACCATCGAGGTGCTCCAGCACGGGCACGAAATCATCAAACTTCAATGGCTGAAGGAAGTTCTCGAACCCGGTGCATTTGCGGAGATCGGCCAAGATCTTGTTGTAATCAATGACAAGCATACGATGTTCGTCCGCCGCAGTGTTGGCGGTGACCGATGGCAATGAGCTGTCTGTAGCATCGCTCGAGGTCCGACCTGAAGATCGAGATGCATGCACTGAGCGCTGAAGTTTGCAGAGGATCTCGTCCAAGCCGTCAGCCAGCGCGGGGTATTGCTCCCGTAGCCCATCGAGTGGTGCGCGGAGAGATAAGATCTGGGACCAGACAAGTGATCTGCCTGCTTCTAGCCATTCCAGTGCCTGTCGCGGAGAATCCAGACGTACAGCCGCAGCGACCGATTCATTGACGATAGAACCAAACTGCATCGTCTCCTCATACCGTCTATCCACAGTGTATCCGAGCCAGACAACCTCCGGGAGAACCGTGAAGATGCACGCATAGGCGGATAGTGCAGTGTGTCTTGCACCGAAGTCAGGATGTCGAGATACGAAGGCAATGCATGCCTTGGCAGACCGTAGCCGTTCGGACGGGTCGCCTAGAGGTTGCATCGCAGACTTCCTGAAACAGAGCATTGCTGCAGCATAGTCAGGCTCATTCGGCTGTCGCAAGAATCGTCACTGCAAAAGGTGACCCAAATCACGTAGCCAAACAACCCTTTCCGGCTGTCCTTCGGGTGTGAGCTCCACTACATGCTGACGATGCTTGATCGAGTCCTGAAGGTCTTGAAATTCCCCAGACTGCATGTAGCGATCCAAAAGAGAGTAGGATAAATAGGCTAATCGGGCGGGCATTTGAAAATGGCCGTCTGGCGTTAGGTCGACTGCCGAACGGCAAAGCGTGCACAAATACTCCAGATCTCGGAGGTCGCCGGAAAGTCTATAACGACCAGATAGAGCAATGGCAAGTTCTGACAACCGCACGGGTATGTCAGGATGCCCGTCGGGCGTGAGATCGAGCGCCTGTTGACCCAGTGCTATGGACTGCTCGAGATCCGCGAGCTCGCCGTGTCGTCCGTAACGAACTCCCAAAGCGACGGCGAGGGTGGCGAGTCGCCGTGGCTTGTCAGGATGCCCGTCAGGCGTGAGCTCGAGCGCCTGTTGACGGAGCGTGATCGACCGCTCGAGATCCTCGAGCTCGCCGTGTCGTCTGTAACAAGCTTCCAAAGAGACGGCGAGGGCGGCGAGTCGCTCGGGCTTGTCAGGATGCCCGTCGGGCGTGAGCTCGAGCGCCTGTTGACGGAGCGTGGTCGACCTCTCGAGACCCTCGAGCTCGCCGTGTCGTCTGTAACGAGCTTCCAAAGAGACGGCGAGGGCGGCGAGTCGCTCGGGCTTGACAGGATGCCCGTCGGGCGTGAGATTGAGCGATTGTTGCCCAAGCGCGATTGTGCACTCGAGATCCTCGAGGTCGCCGTGTCGTCTGTAACGATCCAACAAAGAGACGGCGAGGGTGGCGAGTCGCCCGGGCTTGTCAGGATGTCCGTCGGGCGTGAGATCAAGCGCCTCTTGACGAAGCCTGGTCGACTGCTCAAGATTCTCGAGCTCGCCGTGTCGTCCATACCGGTCAGTCAAAGATACGGCGAGGGAGGCGAGTCGCCTGGGCTTCTCAGGATGCCCGTCGGGCGTGAGCTCGAGTGCCTGTTGACGGAGCGTGATCGATTGCTCGAGATCCTCGAGCTCACCATGTCGT